TTTGTTTTCCCTTTAACGCATCGATGATTCTTATATATACATTCCTTTCTGCGATGATGATTTCGATAATAAATTTATGAATTTTTCCGTGAAAACACTTTCTTTACATTATTTCCTGAGTTGAACTATACAGTTACCCGTATTTATCCGCATTAATCTCAAGGATTACATCGTTTAGAAGAATAAAAAGATATATTTCGATCAAATCTTTCATGAGACATTCAAAAAAAAAGTTATTTGGTTTGTCTACTCGAAGTATGATAGTATCGATTCTATAAAAAATTCAATAAATTTTACTTTTATATGGAAGCTGATGAATGAATTAAATTTCTGAAAATTAAAAGAAATATTCGATTTGATTTTAAAAAAACCGGAAATGTTCAAATTCACTGTTTATATACGAGAACCATTTAGAATGGAATGGAAAATTTACTAATGAAACGGTCGTCTACCACTATGACAGAAACAGGAACTGAAGAGTGAAGAGAGAGGAGGAAAGGAAAATTATAAAAAGTGAAGATGCACAATTAAAACGAGGAGGAATGATAGAGAGGAGAGCGAATGATGGGGAAGGACTAACCAATCATGCCACTTGCAAAATGGGCGCTGAACTAACAAGCAGCACACGCGCAAACATTATTACAGAGTCGGACGACGACAGTTGCTTGCAATTCGTTTGTGCGATCATTATTAACATTACAAACAAAACTAGAAAAGATATATTGCTTTGAACGAGAGAACTGAGACGAATTGTATAAACGCGATGCAATCATAAATTGTTTTCTTTTTTCTCCCATCTCGACGATAACGCTTCGCAAATTTGTATGAAGAAATTACGAACAGAGAAAGGTAACGAGGGAAGGGTAATGATATTGATAAGACGATTATCATAAATACGATTTGATGCAAAATGCTCTTCATCACCATTTTTGCTTTTCTTTATTAATCACAACTGTTCATTATCGAGAAAAGGTGAAGTATATAAAATTTATGAAATAAGACAAACAAAAAAAGAAAGGCACTCTTGAATTATGGTCATCTTAAATATATTCTTATTCTAATATCACGATTTCGAATATCAATCTTGTCTAGAGGAGGAAATCCGATCATCACAGAGTCATTTGAGGAAATTTGAGGATGGAGGTGGGTTCCGTATTTTAATGATTACAACAATTTAACTTTCTCAAAATTTAGATGGATGGATTCATGGATTTCTTTAATAAACACTCAATTTTAAGTGATTTTTGCTTATTTAATTTTCTAAATTAAATTATTTAAATTTTTGTTTTTCTTTTATTTTAGAGTATTTGATCAAAATTAAATCTGATTTAAGGAAATTTTTATTATCATTGATTTATTCACTTCTTAATGTAACGACAGATGAGGAAACTGGTTTATATTTTCACTTTTCTGGAGAGCTTGCTGGTTGTTTTTATCGTATAAATTTTGTGGACATTAGTCTGCTAATGAGATTCTCAAGATACCACATTTATTTATCACTTTTTTGCTGCTAATAAGCATTTTTGTAGGTTGCATTAACATGTCTGTTTATTTTCGAATGTTAGCGATTTAGTAAGAATATAATTTGTACAGCAACGTTTTGATAAAAATATTGGTTGACTGTGTTTATATCGATAAGAAAGGATCGAAGTGTTTCCCGTTGTTTGCGTTGATAATAATGGTGAAATGATTCAAACAATTATATTTGTTTAAAATACTTTTACTCCCATACTCAATCACAACTGATATATGTCAAATAAATTTAATGATTCAAAACCCAACAAAAATGCTTAAAAAAATTTTTAAACTTGAGAAGAGATAATCTTTAAGCAATCTTTGGCTGGAAAAACTTTATGAATGATGGAAAATCTGCTTTGTCTCCTTTGTATATCCGCTATATGTCCTGAATTTAAAATCTTAAAGTTCAGCTAGAAAAATTCACCCACTAGAAAAAATAAAATCAAATGCAAAAAAAAGCAAAAGCTTTCGAAAATATTTTAAAAAGTTTGCGAAATTTTTTAATCAACTCAGATTTTAATCAGATTTTTAATCAGATTTTCTGATTGCTTTATCAAAATCTTGTTCATCTTCATTGTTTTTCTGCAAATACTACTTAATGAATATTAATGAAAAAATAACTAAAAATATCTGAATCTGGTACCACATATTAGTAATATTCTACTCTAATATTTTGAATAAAATGAAATCAGAACATATTAGCTGTGTCAAATAAAAATGGGGTTCCAAAAAATAAACTTATATTATACTATGTTAACGATGGGATACCATCCCTCCGAATTTTCCTCATACTGAGCAAATGTCCTTATGGGATCCATGCCAAACGATAGAGAAAATATATTCAAGAATTAATTTTTGTTTTTTGTCATTTATTTTTATATTATATTAGTTGATTAATATTATTATCATAATTTCTTGGTTTTTTAGCAATGAGAATGTTTTTTGATGCCTTAATCTCGTAATTTTCTGTAAAGAAATTGATTATCACAAATTTTCTAATGCTCAGTTCTAATGCTTAAAAAGTTTAGCCGATTATTTATATTCGATTATAAATCTTAATAAGATAAATCTTCAGTATTGAAATCACCAATTCTCAATTTTTAAATATTTCATTTTGAAGTGAATTCAAGTTGAAATGCGAATAAATTATTTCATTAAAAGGTCAAATAAAAAGCAACCACAAGGAGGTTAAAGGAGGAGGACATCATGTCGTTTTCCTGAACTTTTTTTCAGCCCATTGGTAAAATAAATATGTAAATAGGCTCACCATTTCTGGTTAGGCTGGTTCCACTGCTAGTACGGTTAGAAATTTTTGCCAGGAAATCATTTGATAATAAAAAAAAGTTGATAAGGGCCTTAAAATTAAAATAAGGCTTTTTGATTGATATTGATCTTGATGTTTTTCATCTCATTATGAAAAATTTTTTTAGAAATAAATTCTTTAAGTCAATAAAATCTGACTGTAATAAACTGAACTTATTGCTATGGATGCGAAAAAGATGGTTTAATTTTTTCATTCAAAATTGTAATCCTTAATAATCCTTGGAAAGCCTCATCCTTATATTTATCTAATGGAACGACCTTGTAGTATCTCACACTTCAACTTCATAGTAAATTGAGTCAGTAATGTTGCGTGCTTCAGCAATGATTCAGTTATTTAAAGTTATCAGTTAAGAGCGATAAATGACGAAAATGTAGATGGAGCATCCGATAAAAGAAAAAATAAATTTTTTGATTTTGTTGTTGATTGGTTTGAATGATCTCATCTACCTGTTTTTCTATCAATAATTTTAAAAAAGTTTTAAGTAAATGAAAGAATTAAGATTGGAATCAAATTACATTGTGCCTTCGATTCATTTAATCTTAAACATTATCTTGTTTCCGTTTTTTTTTTACACATTCAGCAAATCCTACAGCAATCATCCGTTTGTTATAAACTATAAGCACGAAAGAATAATGCCAGAAGTTATTATCTTCTGCACTGATTGAAATCTTAATTAGCTGCAAATTTCCTTCTTGTAGACAACTTCCAAAAAAATCGCTATTCTATGAAGTTTTGAGTTCCAAAGTTCACTGTTAGCCGGAACAAATGGTGGCAACAGTTTTTTCGATTATTTGCCATTTTTTTCGAAAACTATGAAGAAATTATCAAAAAAAGACTTAAAAAAAGGAGATAAATTTCAATCTTTAAAAAGTTTTTTTACTTAATATTCTTAAAAGTTGAATTGATATGGTTGATTTTTCTTAAATGGGGTTATATGGTCGTGGAGTGATATAGTCGATTTTCTCAACAGGTACCATGCTAAGCTCATAAATTAGTAATGATAAATGGCGACAAATCTGCATATTACCGATTATTGTTTTCATTTCAAGTTTCCATAGCATATTAATATTCTATTCGATTCCTTCCATTATAATCTATAATAAAATTAATCGCTAACTTTACTGAATCTGAAGCTTCTTCAAAATCAAAACGATTCGTTTATATTTTCTATCTTCATTAAGATATAAATATTAGAATTATCTGGAGTGTATTGATTAATCCATCACTGTCAACTTGAAGAAAATCGATTTCTATACTTTACAATTTGTCAGCAAAATCGCTGATAAAAATATTGAGCAACTTATTCACCTTTTTTCGGGGATTTCTAAAAGCTTTTTTCCATTTCCCACCATCAGCTCCGGATTTCATTCTAAGAATTATTGTTAAAATCAAATTTTTTTAAGAAAAAAGTATTTTGTTTTTATTCGTTATATACTATAGTTTGCATTGGAATAACAAAAATAATAATAATCCACTTTGTGTGATTATTATATGTCAGAGACCAAAGTCTATGAAAGTTCAACGTCATGTAGTTATAAATCTGGAATTTGCAAAATTCGGATTCGGATTGAAATTCGGATTGAAATGAGTCCTATTCGAAGAAATTCTCGTTGAACATTTGTCGAATCAGTTTGGTAGTCGCACGATATTCTGGCTTTGGCTTGAAAAAGGATTTAAGTATTGCAAGCCAAGATTGCTCAAGATAAATCTTCATATTATTTTGCTTCTCGGGCAATTTACTATGAAACAAGATGAATGAAATTTTTTTTTTTCCTTAGCTTGTTTTTATTTCACTATAGTAGTAGCAAATGAATTAATTGTGAGTTACTCTCTTGAAAAATTACGTTCATTTGCGCTTTAAATTCGTTCATTCCTTAAATTGGTCGATAAATTGAATTTATTCGTTTATTAATGAGACATTTCCATTGTTACTATTTTTTCGATCATCGCCGCATATTCTTTAGCACCATACATCACTATTAAGTAATATAATTTGTGAGAAAACGTGTTATATAATAAAATTTAAATTATTTCGTCGATGTGCACCTCTAAAACGTCAAAGTATGGTTTTGTGAAAAAACAATAGTAAAAAAATGATTAACGATTCAGAAGTGATATGTGATTAACCAGGTTGAAGATATATAAAGGTTTATTGCAGATGAATAGAGGAGGTACTATTATGAGTTCACAGAACAGGATTGCTACTTCAGCTTCATCCAACGATGAAATTCTACCAAATCGGTTAATTATTTGCGAAATTAGTTTATAGAATTTTCAGTTTCTCGATAAAATCAAAAAAATATTAATAAATGAATTATGAAGCAGTACATTAAATAGTATCAATTAATATTATTTAATTAAACGAATGAGTAAATTATTGTGATGAAGGAATGAACGACAGATGGTTGGAATTCATATCGGGCAACGAACTATTTGTCCAGTCATTCATTTCTCTTATATCTTATTAGAAAATTGGCAGATAACTAAAAAACTTATTTTCGTGATTATGATGGTACTAATCATTTTCTATCAATAAACTTTGAAGAATGCTTTTGAAAAAGCTGAAATTGTTGCGTATTTATGGTTAATTGTTGTTTTAAAAGAATGGTACTTGACGGGAAGAAGTTTTAGGTCAGCGAATTCTCCTGCCGATCAAAAACCAACTTTATGGCAGGTTAATGGTCAAACTATTGTTAATCAGGTAATTACAATGTAATATAAATGATTCGTAAATTTAATATGATGGTTGTTGATGTGTATTCAAACTATGTCAATTTTTCACTTTTAACTGTTAGAGCTAAAGTTTGGCTTCACCTACTTATGACTTTTACGAAAGAATCCCTGCCAAATTCTTAAAATCACCTATATGGTAACTAATCTAATTATATTTATGCAATTTAGCTGTCACCAGCAACTGGCGATCAAGCCGGTGCTTGCACTGACCCAACGCAGGGAAGTTCGTCGGCTAGCGATCTTTCTGCAGATGCTGAAGGAGTTTGGTCGCCTGATATCGACCAGGTTAGTTTAATTAATAATTTATCAGTAATAATAAAATAATAAAATAATTAATAATTTAGTTGTTAAATTATTTGTGTTTTGCTATATTTTGTCGATATTTTACCCATACTTTATCTCTTTTGTTCATATTATAAAGAAATTTTCAGGCTTTTCAAGAGGCTTTACAGATATATCCACCTTGTGGGCGAAGAAAAATTATTTTAAGTGACGAAGGAAAGATGTATGGTATGTGACTATAAAATTTTATTCCTTAAAAACTTTCCACATTGTCGAGCAGATCCATAAATCCACTTTAACATATTTAGAATCAAAGATAATTGGCATCAATGACCACTTAAGTGCTAATGATTAGATGCTAATTATATTTATTACTAAAATATTGCAAAATTTTTCTTTCCATTTCGGTTTGGCTAAATCGATCCCCATTATGGGTCACGTAGGTATAGAAATATAGGTAAGCTTCCAGCATTACCAAGGAACAGGAATCTCGAATCTATGATGATTTTTTATGTCGATAATTTTTTTTAGATTTATAAATAAAAATCATCAGATCTTCTCATTTATTCTTCAATCGCGACTATTTGCTAAATATATTTTTTTTAGTTTAATTCCAATTTTCGACTTTAACTAGGATGACAGTAGATTTCTTTAAATTAATCTTAAAGTCTATGTCGGTTTTGAATCATGCTTTCATCTATTTATTTCTGGATTTGGTCCTTTCATGGACTTGAGAAAATTGAAAATTTAATAGCGAGTGAAATTTGATATGATTGACCTTGAAATAGATCAAGAGGATTTTATAATTTCATATTTTAATGGCAATAATAATTATATTTTGCGAGTAAGAAATTAAATTATTAAATTATTTTATATAATAGAAATGGAACAAAATTTATAAGACAATCTTTGACGTAATCTTTTTTACATGCAGAAATCATCCCTATAAACCAATTTTTACCATGAGCATGTTACGATAGGAAGGCAATTTTTGCATCCTTGAAAAATCTTTTGGCTGGAAATTTTTCATAAGACGACCTGCCACAGAAATTTTAAAGGAAAAGGAATTTCTTCTGATATAGAGGAGGTAGAATATGCAAAGATACATGATTGTATGCATGCATGGAGTTTTATCTTGCAAAAGGTCACAAAAAGAGGTCAACGATGAGTCTTATGGGAGCATGATGGTAATGAGTGACATTACGCAGAAGCATATCGCATGCTTTTTGAGGGATTCAGAGTTCAGTTAAAGGTCAGTCTAATCAATAAAATCACTAAATTATGAAAATTTCAATATGACCGCATGCACTAATTTTTGTCATAAAAATTTATTACAAATTTTTGGATTAATTTGCACTTGGTTATTATCTGTAAAATCTTTTTATTGTTTCGCTAGAACTATTATGGCAAAATTTTAGAATTTACAATTTTATAATTAATTTAATAAATTCTGAAATAAGAGAAGGAGTGCTTCGAATGTTACCAAAGAACCATCATAGACAGTACAAATTTAAATCCAAAACTTATTATATTGGCAGTTCTGGTCGTCAAAAGGGAATATAAACCTAATTTTGACGGAATTGATAAATTCTTAGATTCTAATATTTTCATTTTAATGCAACATTTTAAAATGCCCTTTGAATCGAAACTTTAATTCATTTTTTTTGAATTGAGCAAAGTTGTTCAACTATTTTTTGGCGTAAGAATTGAAATAAATTTATTGAAAGAAGGAAGAAAAAAGTTATAGGCAAAATTTTCCCTGAATTTGAATTATTGCAGGTCGAAATGAATTAATTGCAAGGTATATAAAAATTAGATGTGGCAAAACGCGAACTCGAAAACAGGTTTCATCACACATACAAGTTCTCGCTCGAAAAAAAGCTCGTGAATCACAGTCTAAATTAAAGGTTGTGATTTTTATTTTTGTCTTCTAACAATTATCCATAACCATTGTCGGTTTACAACGTGACTCGAACACAACTTCAAGTAATCCGAATGCTACTTATTGTCTTCATCGTTCATAATCACTATCCTACTCACACTGAATTACTTTTTATTGCCTAAATAGCTACAGTTCGTTTAGTCTCATCAATATTTAACGTTACTAACTTTTTTTCGTTCTTTCAACATTAATTTTAAGAAGGTGGGTGACAGACTGGTCGAGTGGTGTATTGCTTTGGATAAGGCCGAGCTGCAATATTTTTGCACCTTTACGGATATAAATTTGTCATTAATCTGGCGAAGGCTTCTCATCCCAGTAGTCAGTTAAGCTAATGATGAGCGTTGTTCGAAAAAGTGACATTGCTACTTAAAGTTATTTCGCCATCATTCATTTTATTTTCTGAATTTCCAGTTCTAAGAAATTTTCTAACTTTTCTAAGTTTTTAACTGTTGAAATTTTTATGACTTGAATAAATCCATTTGTTATAATGTAGAAAAGAATTAGTAATTAGTCTATTTATTAAAATTTATTATAAAATGCCTAATTATATCGGAAAAAATTGTGCATTGGCAAAAAATAAAAGTATATAAGTTGGTTAGATCCATTGTTTTCTTCACTGTGGGAAAAATATGCTTCTGAGCTGAGGAAGTTGTAATGCTGGTGCATTTTAAGGAAAAAAAGAAAGCAAATAAAATCTTAATCAGATTGCATTATTCGTTAATTTCAAAAGGAAATTCAAGACATTAAACTAAATTACAGCTCTTTTTTCACTCCACCAATCTTAAATTATTAATAATTTCAAATAAATGCAAGTTCAGTTTCATCTTGACGAGCGAAGGAGAAGGGAAATAACTATATTATTATAAGGGAAATAACTATACTGTACTATTTGCATTATAATTTTCGAGTAATTTTAAAAACAGAAGTTGCAATGTTAAAATATAAGTAATTTGTTGTTAAAACTTTTGCCAAAATTCTTCACCATTTCTTTTTAACTACATTGAAGAAATCCGTTTTTCAGAGAATGACATAGGTACTGGTCGGCTCTTGGCATCACTCGAATTTTTAATTAAATTAACTGTCGTTTAAAAGATCAGATAAACCAATAACTATGTTACTGTATTAATAAAAAGAAACGTTAATGGAGTAATATAGAATGAATAAAATGAATTATATAGAAAAATAGAATGAATTAATAAAAAAAATAAAAGCCAAAAAAACTAGAATTATTTTAGAACTGAAAATGGATCGCAGATTTATTTAACAAGTAATATCACAGTATTTTCTGTTCAATATATTTTAGAAACTAGATAATTATAGCGCTAATTCAGTGAACATTTTATTAATTATTAACAAATTTTTAAGGAAGAAAAATTTATGAACGAACAATTTTGAAGCAAAGTACCGTTTGATCTCTTACCCCTAATTAAAAAATTTGGCAAAATTGATAAGGGATTATTATTATTATTAAGAATAATAAATCTGTTTCCATAACACAAATCTTAATTTATGTTTATTAAATCGAGTCAACAAAAAATCGTGGGCATTCTATATTGTTATTCACAGAAAATTTGAATAATTTGGTAAAGATGAAAAAATTCATCAAGATAAAAATCTCTTTCTAAATACTATTTGCAATAGAGGAATGATCGGTGGTATAATAGCTTCGAATGTTTGATTTCACAGGAGAAACTTTTCATTACAAAATCCGAGTGGTGCTTTCAGTTGACCAATATTTCTATCGACAAGCGTATCGACAAAAATTCTGACCATATTAATCGGCAGCAAAGCATACTCAGAAATGATGAGGGCTGACCTGAGCACTTACATTATTATAGCGCTAATTCAGTGGACATTTACATTACATTATTACATTATGCATTATTACATTATTAGCAGAGAGTAAGGAATCTCAAAAATATAGTTATCGTCGATATCATTAACATTGCCATATTTTAGTTTTTAAAATTCCACTAATTTTTAAAAATTTTTAGTCAGCCGATTCATCACCACCATCAATATCAGTGGAAAAAGAAAAGGCCATGCTAACGCAATTAAGTCCGCATCAATTATTGTCTGCAGGAAAACAAAATCTTGCCTCACCAGCAATATATCCAAATGTATGGCCAACCGGATTTACAGCTGCCAATCCATTTCCAACTCAAGACGATCTCAAAACCTATCAGCGTATTGCAGAGTAAATTTTTTTGAACTTATAAATTCTTACTATGGATCGCTTAATTCTCCTTCTTCTAACATCTCTCATCATTACTGGTTAGGCTGGCTCCAACGGTTACAAGGGTAAGACGCTTCTAAGCGGCGCGGTCTGATGATATCGTCGACAGTAACTGAAGCCATTCCTTTTTCCATCGTCTAAGTCCATATATTGCTGGTCCATCTATACGTTCAAAATCTCTTCTAATCGTATCAGGTCTTGATTGGCCCACCTCATTTTTGATTTCAACCATCACACGGTTTAGCAAGTAACGAAATATGCGTGAACTCCTGTGGTGGACGACGGAAAACGTGCCCTAACCAGCGAAGGCGACGTTCTGTGATAATATTGTTTATGCAAGTGGTATTTGAACGAAGATGGATGTGATCATGTGATATCTTATCCGCTTGACGGATCCGTAATATGTACCTTAGACAAGAAATCGCTTAATACAGTTGATCCTATCAAGGCATTTAGTTCACATGATAAATTCATGGTTTTTCTTTCGTACTAAATGCTTTACTGATTTCTAAATAATCTAAATCACTTCATTTTTCTTTTTCTTCTAATAATACTAACCATTCCACCATTCCACTAATCACATGGGTGAGACTTGTTTGCCAAAGGGTCACTCAGGAAAAGAAATTTAGGTGAGTCTCAAGGGTTGCTCGATAGATCGCTTTATATAGCACGAATTTTTATATATGCATATGTATTTTGTCGAAGATGAATATTTTCAAGAGTCCGTTCATTTTCTTCAGTTTAATTTTTAAGCAAACTTTTCATTTAAAAAATTTACAAAAAAAAAATTTTCTGGTTTTCCAAAACGAAACATTTCCGCATTTATTTTTTGGAGTGCAAGGTTTTGGAGAGAAGGCTGAAGCCATCATTAAATCTGTGCTTTTTACATACTAAAGGTTTCCTCAATGATTTTTTGTTTTCAAATTTCCAAACAAATTTAATTTCTTAAATTTCTTTGATATGTGGCATAATTCTTCTCAAATTTTTAAGAATGAATGGATACGAACACGTAGCACCGCTAAATGCGATATCGCCCACAAAAGTGCCTTTAGGGATAATTGATGATCGAGCAATAGCTTCATCGCTTCTAACTTTATGTGGCTTTACTGCATATGTGGAACCGGAACCCAATGACATCAACTCGAGGGTTGATTTGGTTAAAATACCCAAATATGCTGAAGAACCGCTTGAGGTGTATTTTATTCAAGATTTTAACGAAAAATCCTTCATACATGAAAAAGTGTCTCGGAAACATATTTGACTTATTTAATTTTCTCAAATTTTTTATTGGCAATCTATAATAAAGTTTCAATGAATTATGATTGTAAATAATTATTTTTCTATGGTTTAAATTCTCTCGTATTTTTTGGAATTATTTATTCATAAAAGCTTAATAATGAATATGTCTTTTATTTTATTTGCAACATCCAGGTATCAGTAATTTTTTTGAATTTTGTAGCCTCATTTAATATTCCAAAAAATTTCCATTTCTTAGATTTCTCTAACTTTTTCTTGTAGTGATATTTCTTCCAGTTAATTGATAAAACTGCTGTGGTCGCAGTATTTAGACTGTAATCAAGTTTTGGCCTTTATCATAACTTTCATGAAATTTTCATAATTATGGATTATATATATGCTCGAGATTGATCAATCGTGAAAGAATGATTTTTTACTTGATTTATGGTTGAAACATTCTTTCAGACTTTCAAGTTAGAGGACATTGTTGACAAATATCCGTCTGTCCTCGTCGAATTATTTGCTCAAGGACCACGAGATGGTTTTTTCTTAATCAAATGTTGGGCAAACGTTGAATTTAATTTACCCGATGATCGGTTGGCACTTTACGCTGTTGATAGTTTCTATGAAAGCCATCGTCAGTTTGATATATCAGTTTCAACAAAAGTTTGTTCCTTTGGAAAGCAGGTGATCGAAAAAGTTGAAGTGAGTATTTAAAATATTTTTCTCTGGAAAAGATCTTTTTTCCTATCATACGTGAAATATGTCTTATTTTCCTCAATTTTCAGAAGGGAAGGTGCCATTTATTAGATTCATAAAATCAGTTCCAAAAATATTGTGTTCTAAAAAAGTAACTACAAACAACTGTCATAATTGTTATAATGTTGCCTAAAAACTGAGGATTCTAAAATCATTTGCGCAAACAATTTGATAACTTTCAAGCAATTCAAATGGACTGTTTTATTTTTATAGGTTTATTCACCGGTGGAAATTAATGGAAAATATAATTTCTGTCTCGAAGGTTCGCCAATGTGTGAGTATATGGTCAAATTTGTTGCGGAATTGAAAAAATTACAAGAACACTCCTTGATGAATAGCGTCCTTGACAATTTTACTGTTTTACAGGTAATTTTTGCATGAAATATTTTAGGATATTTAATAAATGAACTTTTAAAATTGAAACTTCATTTAAACTTCATTAATTTGTCGTGAAGTGAACTTTCCTATTTTTTGCGTTAATTTGTTCATTTTTGGCCTATAACTTCTTATTTTTTAATTTATCTAATGCAGTTTTTCAAAATTTATATTTTGTGAAAGATTGGTCATTCTCTTTAAATTCCGGTAATTTCAATGGTTGGTTGAATTTTTTAATTATTTTTTCTCTTTTCTAAAAGTTGGTTCGAGATATTTATTTACTCAGAAACGAAAATTATAATATCCTTATCTGTTTGATTTAATAAGAAAACCAAAATATTCCTTAAACACTAAATAAACTAGGTTACTAATTGTCAAATTGATAAAAAATATTGCTTTATGCTAGATTATACTGATTAAAATTTTCTTCAGCTTATCATCTAAAATTATGTATATTAGGAAATGTTTACCCAGAAAAAATCGCAACCTTTTAAAACCATTTGTTTTTATAAAAAATGGATGTTAGTTGAACAGCAATAAGTATAAGCGATGGTAAATCCAACTAACCCTTTGATTTTCTTTCTAAACACTCTTTGTTTAATCAGATGTTGTAAACACTTATCATTATCGTGACCATTAATTCCAAAGTATATAGATATATATTTTTGCTACCTTCATTAGCTTCTTTAGTTCGGGGGTATTTTTATTTTTATTTTTTATTTAGATTTGCAATTATTCCCAATAAAATGCGTCCAAAGGTGAGATTGATCAAAAGCAAAGTTGAATTTGGCGTATTGCTTAGACTCATTTCAAGCGTCGTAGTTTCGCCCTTTCCATTTGCAGCAACGATATTGCCATGAAAAGAAAGATATATTGGGGTCAAGAGCAGTTTATTCAAGAAAAAAGGAGCAGTGGCACAATAAACTAATTTGATGGTTATTCTTTTCAGGTTGTTTCAAATCGTGATACAAAAGAAACTTTAATGGTTATTGGTTTTGTTTTCGAAGTATCACCCGAACCGGAATCTACTTGTCGCCTTTACCGATTAGTCGGTAATTAATCGATTATGGTTTCAGTATTTTAATATTATTTCATTCAATTATCACAATATTACTTAATGAGGATAATTTTCATTTCTCGTTCATTCATTGTATATATTATAAAAATTTCCACTAGAGTGCATTTTTTTCGTCCTAAAATATTGTATTTTGTTTTGGCCTTTATAATTATCAAATTATATAAATGTATCTCGATTTATCGACCAAGATTTATGCAACCTTAAGATTTATGTGTCCTGTGATTCACTTACTATCATTTACAGAAAGTTTCATAATTTGCCAAATAATTATGGGGTAATATGATTAAGAAACCCTTCATACGAGTTATTATTGTCATTCTATTGTACTGTTTGGATTTTTTGCATTAATTTATGTTAGAATCGGATCAGAAATTTTGATCCTAATGTAGTTTGCTTTGGAGTATTTAAATGATTTGCAGGCAGGCAATTAGAAGGAAGTTATTTCTACAAAAATTTAGAAAAAATTGACTTGTTTGATTAATGTGAATTCATGAATTAATGATTATGATTCTGTTATTAATTAATGCTATTGAGGCTTGTTTGCAAATATTTGCGACTACGAGTCTCTCTCCTTATATAAATAAATATTTAGCAATATGCTATAGCATCGCAATACATTATTATATTTTTTTTTTAGATTTCATGAAATATTCCTGAAAAAACATACTTTTTCGCGTAAAAAAAGCCATGGATGGAACGAATCAACTTTTTTCCTTGAATAAAAAGGAGGCAAATAACTCAAATATGACTGGACTGATTCTGTCGATAATGAATTACAGCCGTTTTTGGATCTTTTTATTTTAACTTTTTTTACAATATTATGCGAAATAGACGGCAAAATAATTATATTATCTCTTAAAATTAGCCAATGATTAACTTCTGCACCACTTTAATTGAATTCAAGATTTTTACGATAGCATTTAACAATATTAATATTACGATATCAATAACGATAAAATGAAGATATATGGATGCACATCATAAATATTCATAAATCTTTATCACAAACTAAACGGAAGGAATCACTGGGAACGAATTAGAAAAATTTTGATTGCTCAGTAAACTAAATAAATCGCTAGAGTTATAATCATTTAAAATTAAGCTTATTTTTCAAGTCTTCAAAATTGAATAACCATTCTTTGTGGAGATCTTCCTTCGTTCAGCACTGAGTTGAAAATTTTAAAGATCCACACAATCAAGAATCTATTAATGAATTGCGACAAGTCTATTCCGAAAAAAAATAAGGGCAAACTGGTCCGATGAAAAAAAAAATCAAAAGGTGAAGTGAAACAAACTGAAAAATTAGTAATGAAAAATTTCACTGAGAAAAAATTCATAAAAAACTCTCACAGTAATTATGGTTGAAAGATGTGAAATCGTACGTGTTATTCAATTTCTCGTTTTTTATTCTTTCTATTCTTATTTACAGTGCTTACATAATAGGTATTTTTTGCAAATTTTTTTCCCGGTTTTTTTGCACGTTAACTATTTGATTTTGCATATTTGTCCTCCACCGCTCGTCTTGATTTGAGCAATAGAAAAGGCTAAATGTTATGATAGAGAAAATAGAACTAAAATTCTTTCAAAATCAACACCACTAAATTTTAGGAAAAAAAAACCCTTTTTTCGCACATTGCTTTATGAATATTGTAATAAATTAATAAATAATGTGATTAATGTGAATGTGAAGCTAAAACAGAATAAACTGGTAAAAATTGCTGAAAAATAAATTTTCATTAATGGTGATTTTTCATTCATCCTCGATGTATTTCTTTTTTTTGGTGAACTTTGATGAGTTTACTGGTTCTCGATACCTAAAATTTTTTATTTTCTAAATATTTTAATTTTTATTTAAATAAATTTATTCTCTATTTATTTGATGAAAATGAGGAGAAAATTTAGGCTTAAAAATCCATTAATGCCACTTTTTAGTTGTATTTTTGAAGTAAGCATTTTCGATAAATCTTAATTTTCTTTTTAAAAAATTTTGACAAGTTTTTGGATAATTCAGGGATAAAAGCTAGATATTATAATATGATTTTGCCGTTGCTATTGACTGCAGTTCCCGAAAAACGATTATCCAATTTCAAATTGCATAATAACAATAATATTATTATTATAACAATAATAAAAGAACCAAATCCAGCTGAAAACAAACAAATTTTGATATTCGATAAGTCAAGGAGAAATCGCGGTGAAAACTATAATTATTATTCAACATATTCCTTTATCATTTCGCATGCTTCTTTAAACCAATGAAATTTTTATTATTTATTTAACATAGAATTTAATAAAATGGAATTATAGGATATTTTTGCTTCCAAAATCAAAAATTTTTTGTCATGAATTTATTATTTAAAAATATAATTAGCAAAATTTAATTTTAAATTTAATTAAAACAAACAAAATTATAGTTTTAATCTCAAATGAATATCATCTTTTGCTTTATCCGTTAACCATACTTTTGTTATGGCTGATTTTATTGGCTATTAGAACTGAGAAATGCCAGAAATACACTTAGAAGTCGTATGTAGGGCCGGTGGAAGTGCCATACAACAGAAATAGTCTTATTTAAAGCTTTCAATGCTTTCGAATTTCAAAAAGAATTTAACATCCAATGAATAGGGTGAGCCAAATATTTTTACATTTTTTTAAAGGAGCTGATTTCATTGCAATATATCTCCTATTAAATATTGTACATGTAAGTTTTGTCGGGGGAGCGAGCGTAACATTGAAGACCAAATTGTAACGCATTTATGCAGCGACTCAGTGATACAATGATAAGCCCATCGTTTCGAGAATCCCAAATTATAAACGAAGATATTAAAACAGACCACAAGCATCAATAGACATCTACATGTACTTAAACCAATGTTGAATCGTTTCTAACGGAGAAAGAAATTACCTATACAATATCTTATTTTAAAATATCTCCCTCTTAAGGAAAAACGGATCCATTCTGTAGGTCTGGATCGCTGTTGCGTGGTGATGGTGATCTTTGAATTTTCACTGATCGTTGTGGATCAGGTGTGACTCGACTGTTACTTGATTCACTGCTTTTTAGGCTTATCATTTGCCAGAGCGTAAGAAGTTTCCAAAAGGTTTTTTAAGATATCCTCATATAAACTAGCTGTTTAGCTGCGACTGCTTTGCATATCGTATTTGGCATTTGTTACCCATTTCAATCTCTGATTCTCTGAATTTTTTTAGCTGGTTCCCACCTTTCTCGCTGGTTTTCAAATTGTCTTGCAAAGACAATTGACCAGGTCGAAAGAACTATTAATAGCACAGTGATATCGATTGTATTATTTTTCCATTCGTTTATTTGAGGCTTTTTAATTCAATGGTGGGTACAAAAGTTTTTATTTTCCTTCCTATTAATGCTTCTGCTGGTTTGATAAGATTTGGTTTTAATCGAAGTTAAAAGAAATTAAGTCTATAGAAATAGGTTTATAAAATGTGTTGCTTTTGCTTTCGAACAGCGTCGAAAATCAGTTACCGACATAGGGAAATTGTTGTTGGAATTTTTCAAGAGTCTGAAGAGTCCATAATTCAAGACTATCAATTTAATAGCTGGAAGATAGCTGGCTTTTGATGAAAAGATTGTAGTTATAATTAGTTATAATTATTCAGCAGATTATAGAAAGGTCTTATCATTCTGGCGTACCACTTCTATCGAAGATATAAGAATTTTTTGTCAAAATTTATTTAAATCTTTTCATCAAAATTCACTTTTGGCAAGCACTCACGAAGAGTATAATAAATTATTTTTCAACCTTTAACTTTGCACCGGTGATTTCCATTTTGTTCAATTTTTTTAAATTCATTAGCTGGCAAAAATTTTCGATGCAGCTTGTTGAAAATCATGCTAGATTACAAAAGGAGCAGTTAATCAAATAACCACTCTTTTTTGATAAAATATGCATTTTTTTCATTGATAATCGGTGACAAGCCGCAAAATCGATGAAGTCTATTTATTTTTATTCTGGATTCATTTAATTAATTCAAAAAAAATCGTACTGATTAGTCGAAGCAAAATGATTGATGAGTGTTTTTTTGGTATTTTTCCTCGGCTTTTGAAATAATTTCGAGTAATAATTTAGTAATTACAAACGGTTAATACCATTTTTTATGTAAGAAAATCTGAGAACAAGAAATTTAATTCCGAATATGGCAAAGAATTCATGAAGAATTCATTATTAATACCTTTTTGTCATATTTGTTTCAATATCCAATTTTAATTTAATTCTCCCTTTTTCTTGACGAATTTGACAAAATTTATATAAAATTATTCATAATGATAGGAAAGAGGAAATTTCATCTGAAAACTTTCCGTCAATATTCAATTCAATAAAAAGCCTGCTTGAATAATTTATTATTTTAAATTTATTCAGATTTATTAAATTTTATTTAAACAACATCATTTGATCTATATCAAATAAATGCCAAGCGCGTGCCAAAAAAAGAAAACAATCGGTGAAGGAATATGTTTTATATTGATTTGGGTAAAATTAGGTATGAAAAAAATATTGGTATTGATGAGATCAATTTTATTTATGACGTATGAAAAGCCTTAGGAAGGCGAAAACAGGTGAAAGGCAAATTCAGAAAATCAACGTCCAGCGTGTTCTAGTAGACCCGCAAATGCAAGTTGATCTTGTAGATCCAAAGCTGGAGATAATCCCCTTTTGCCGATATCGCTCAAATCTTGTATCATCTGCAAAATAATGATAAGATAAATCATCAAGATAAAAATAGATAAATCATCATATCATCTATACTTAATCATCTATACTTAGTTTTTCATTTAATTTGCTATTTTTCTATAGCAAAAGAATAATTTCTTTATCCTGAAGTGAAATTTTGTATTTTTCTCATAGACTCTTAATATTTGGATTTTTTAACCGTTGTAGAATATTCAGACAAGAGAAGACGAAAAAAGGACACAAAAAATAAATTAAGGAGAGCTCATTTAAACTTATTAATTGGTAATAAGTATTTGAATCTCCGAATCTTTACATGGCTCATTATTGTACAGTAAAATGACAATCAAATTCAAACACTGAACAAAGATTAATTTACAATAATTAGATCAAAAATGAAGCAAATAACTTTAACATTAGAATTTAATTATGGAAATTATGGATATCCATACATATTTGTATTAATTAATTCCTAATAAACACATTTAGATTACTAATTATCTGAAATATTGTCACAAATAAATTCTCATAAAATATTTATAAATCGTAGGTGGAAATAAACCGATAATTTCTGGTTAAATTAGTTCCGATGGTTGTTAGTACAACAATAAATTTTTGCCAGAGAACCACTTTGGGATAGAAGTGCAGGATTCTTAATAGAGGTTTGTCTTTCTGAGGTTAGATCGAATGTTGATGTTCAAAATGGTAATCTGAGCAACAATCATTCGGCTACTCTGGTCTCTTAACGACCTTCACCATTACAGTTAAATTCCTCAGCTGGCTTATTACATTAGACAATATGCCAGGGAGCCGACAGAAGTAGAGATGAGTCGCCAGTATCACCGGATATTTGGACAGGTTTTCTGTGGGGAATCGAGCCTCAGCATCGGCCCCAATCTGATTTCTTATCTAAGGTTAATAAGCTTACTTCAATGCGCCGACGAAAATTATCAGCGGGGCTCAGCATTTGTCGTTTACCGATACTCTGTAAAGTTAATGCGCTCTTAAGTTGATCGTCTATATCCATTGAGGGAGACAAATGACGTTTGAAGCCAAACGATCGTTTCAAGAATGGCTAAAATTATCATCATATTATCAGAGAGAACCAAAAAAACTTTCGTGAACGAAAATGCAGTGCTTAACTAATTTCAAATTTGACATACTTGATCTGGTACAGAAGCGTATCTGAAGAGTGGACCAAGATTATTTTCAAGAAGTACTGCAGGTGACAACTGTCGCTTTTGGCGATTGCTCAGACTACCTTCAATTAAAACTCCGCAAAGAAACAAGATGGTTATCAGATTACTCACTGAATAGCAGCTAATGGTCATTTTTGATTTAATTTTTATGCCTTTGTTAAATATCAAATGAAGCTGAAATTAAAACAAATTAATATGCGGAGATTATTTATGACGAATTTATTGATCAGCCCATTCAGTGAACAGTTGCTGGAGTAAACAATATATATTTAAGCCATAAAATGGTACTTGCAGCCTGAATTTAATCCAAGCTAAGTTTAATTTCCAAGCAATTCAGTCATCATTAGATTTAAGTGGAATCTTAAAGATACTAAAAAAAAAAGCTGCTCTTTGGTAAAATTTTTTACAAATACCTTTCAATGAATAGCTTATGAAGTTTAAAATAAACTCATCTCATTTTTTTTCAAGACTTTTAAACTTTCAAATTCAGTGAATTTAGTAAAATACTGTTCATTTCAAAAAATTTCAACTCAAATACGTTTCCAGCTACATTTTCAAAATTTTCAGACTTTTCCAAGTTTTTTCTTGGTTGTTTGGAGGACTGTTTTTATAGCATTAAAATAAGTGAACCAGTGATTAAAGTGAGGGAAAAAAAATAATCTTCGGGAAATTAATTAAGAAAAATGCCTCTAGTGTTTCACCAACTATTGAAGTAATTTAGCGGAGCAAATATTTTTTCATAGCTTAGGAAGTATTAAAATAATTAAACTTTTAAGCGAAACGATAGATCTTCACAGGAAATAATATGAAATTTTCAATCTATAATCCTTTCATCTTCATACTTTTCGTTTTAAAACAATGAAATATTAATTATGCAAAGAAATCTAGATAAAACCACTGTTGTTCAAAAATGTTAAATCAGAAACACAAGATGTAAAGGATTTGAAACTATAAATATGATTGGATTTGCAAGTGGGGTAATCACCGTAATCCGAACTTTTTCACTGACAGTGTTGTTTATTCCCGTCAAATGATAAGGAATATATCCAGAAATGCTCAAAAATTAAGGCCTAGCAATAGAATATAATAATTTTAATTTAGTTTAATTTTAAGCGATTCAGCGAGAAATCCACACAAATCCCTTTAACATGCGAAAATTACTTGAAGCAATTTTTATCTCCTTTGAAATAAATACAATCTTTGAGATATTTTTTGTAATGTGCGAGAATAAAAAGACTTTATTGGATGTTGTGGTAATAAAATACGTGTAAATAGATCTCTTAGCTTTTTATTTTATACCTGATTAGAGTGTTTAAGGTTAGGCTGCTATTAGCATAGTGAAAAATTTTTACAAGGAATCACATGGCAACAAAAGTGCGGTGGATCGTTGCCATCACTCGGATTTTTTAATGACATGTTTATTTCTGTTGGAGACAGGCAGATTCTCAAAGTAATAATCTGAGCAATAACCACTCGGCTCTTCTTGACTAGGAAAGTTAATATAGGGTAAGCATAAATTTTTGCAATGGCACTGGCATAAAAAACTTAGTTTTAGTTTTCATTAATTTCAGATTATAGTACAGTTCTTCTCCATAATTCTTTAGTTTAATTCTCCTTTTAACAGCACTATCATCTCTGATATATAGCTCGCTCCATTCACCTAAGATGAAACTTCCTCTGTTTTTCGCCAAAAAATCACTTAGGAATAGAATTACCAACGGATCGCCAACATTTTCAGACTCATATCAACGAGCAAGAATCGAAGATTATAATCCTTAATTTTAGCCGAACTCTACCAATTTATCTTCTTTTAAAGTTTGATATAACAAAATCTGCAAAGTTAGGTAGATTATAATTTTCATTTGTTCTTGAAATTTTTCATAATTTTTCGAAAGTCATATAAACTTAGAACGAAAAAATTTATCATAGTGAAAATCGAGTAAATAGGATAGAATAGAATCGCTCATGTATAGAAATTTTTTAGTTCATCAATGGTGTTAAAATAAAATAATGAAAAAACAATGAATATGGTTAAAATAATAATAATAATAATAATAATAATAATAATAATAATAATTCTTTCGATGAATTGATTGGCTAGAAGTATCCTTTAATTAATAACAAAGAGAAGAAAATAAATGATGCAGACGAAGCATTAATAAAGATTCTTTTATATTTATACAAAATTAGAAGTGATTCTCAATTTGGATCGGAAATAGTGGATATTCCGAAGTAAATAGTAATTAGTAATTAATGGTGCTAAAATTATGGCAAAATTATATTTTTTTTTTTTACAGCACTCACCACTGCTGGTTGGACTCGCTCCTCTGGCTTGTTGGATTGAACAAATGCACAAGGGAGTCCTTTGACGATAGAAATACAGGTGAGTCGCCAGCATTACCCGGAAAATAATCGCATATTATTTCATAATCGCTGGATAACTGAGTGGATGTTGGCCCATATTATCTCGTTGAATGCTCAAGAGCAAACCTCTCGTTAAAAAATCTGAGTAGAGATGGCAATTATTATATTTTCGTCGTCAAGCAACTATCTAGCGAGAGTTTCTAACTGTAATGCCCAACTGTTTTTTTCTTCCGGTTAATACTAGTGAATTATTTAATCAATTATGATTGCTGAGTTAGCCTGTGAAGAAATGGTCACTAGCCATTTACATAATTTCATAGGCAAAATGACTGGTATTATAAGCAGTTTAAAGTAAAATACTGCAAAATCGCTATCACTGAAAATGATTGGTTAAATAATTTAACAACACGAATTACTGAGAAGGAGGAGTGAACATTCTCAGAAAACACATACATTTTTTGGGTTTTGATAAAATTCGGGTTTTCTGGTGCATAAAAAAACGAGAAAAAAAGTTTATATATCTTATTCGAAATAATTTTTGGATATTAACGATAGCTAAAATATTCCTCAAAGCTTTCACAATTCGATAAACGGTTATTTATTTAAAATTAATAAATTAATCGTTTTGCATATCAAAAGTGACAAATTTTATGCTTTTTTGAAAGAAATACGCCAGAACTTTTCTTTTTATATTTAATTCTATTTTTAATATGAATTCGTTAATAAATTCCTCCACATATTTCACTGAAATGTTGTATAATTTTTGTTTTTTTCCATCTTTTTACATTTTTTATTCAATATTTTAATAAATACTTAAAATATTCGATATAATATAATTTAATTTATAATGGTTTATAATTTTTACTTAATACAAGATAATTAAATGTGTGCTTTAGAATTTTTTTTCATTTAATAAAATAACATTTGATAGAATTGTTATAAAACTACTGTAAAACTTGGCATAAAGTAGGGAAAACAAAAATATTTTATATTTTCTTTTTATTTTATATTTTATATTTAAATATAAGAACTTTTCATATATTTTTAAAACAAATTTACCAAAACCGTTTTGCTTATAAATGTATAAATGCCATAAGTTATGATCGTAGAATGTTAATTTTTAATAAACAAAATACTTAAAAATATTAAGAGAAAATGTGGAAACGAAACTAGAAAAATAAAGAAAAATTTTTTTTCAAATCTATTAATTCCAACGAAAAAAATACTTATTTAAGTAATCATTGGAAAAGTACAAAAACTAATCGATGAAAAAATATGACATTAGAAAAATCCAAGCAGTAATTCAATTTGCTAACTATAAATAACGCATCAGGTTGGTGCGGGCGACTTTGTATTTCTATCAACAAGAGATCAGCCTGGCAAAATTTCTATCTGTGCTAACAACTATTCTACTGAGCTTGTCGATAATTTCTGTAAAATATTCCATGCATCGAGAAATGTTGAAGTTAATCTCTATAATCTACAGAAAACTTATCTCACGATCAACTCGCTTGTCGGTTAACTTTTCATAATTCTAATATTGATATGGTAGGCAATGGAAAACATGTAAATTAGTGGACCCAAAGCCGACAGCACAAATTGTGGAATATTTTATGGAATGGCTTTCTCATCATAAATAATGCGACCACGCCTCTATGAGAATAACCGACTTTTCCGCCTTCGGTCACACATCACACGCATTGCAGGAATGCATTCCTTCAAAAATGCAGTCAGCATTTTCACAAATCCACAATATTTATTCTTCTAAATTAATACAAATGCGAATATGCGACATTTTTGTTTAGAATTCTTCACTGATATTTCCAATCATAAATTTTTTAAAAAAAGAATTGTAGATGATTTCATGAAATCTTTTCATCACTGAAATTTGTTATTATTTTTGCCTTTGTTTAAATGTAAATAAAATTTGAAATATAAAAAATTAACATTGAAGATGAAAATAAAATTTTTGCATGAAATTTTTAAATTTGAAAAATTCGTTAAATGCTCCTAACAATTCTCGAAATATGAGAACAATTGAAATTTAATGGATCCAATAGTTGCCACAAATTATTCCTCGACGGAAGTAAACCTGTCATTGAAAAATCAGATTGCTGCTGATACTTAACTATATTCCAATCCCCAAATGAAAACTCTTTTGATAAAAGAGTTCCTTCTAATAGCGTTAAATAACTAGGAAGACCAAGTTAGAGTTTGCCTTGGATAACATCTATCTATATGAACTCCTATGGTCACCAAGAGTCGTAAACATCTTAAAGGCACGCACATAAGCAATCAATGTAGAAATGATGAATGCTACTAGATGATGGCAAATTTTTCAATTCTTGGAAATATTGAGAATAACTTAAATAATTCAAATTATACGAAATTACCTCCTACATTCAAATGGATATTGTGCTCAAAAACTGCAAAATGCAATGCGAATAACTGGCCACAAATCGAACAACAAACTTTTCACTTAATAGAATTGTTCTAATTTACTTGAAATTAAAGTTAAAAAAATGCGGAGTCTGCGCAATAAACTTCATGGCTAAATTTATTATTATTATCTATTCGTTAATTTAAGAATTTTGTATAAATTATACAATTTTTCACACTTTTTTGATGAGTAGATTTGAATCGAAAAGGGATTTTAAAATTTAAAAATTTTAAAAATTTTTTAATTTAAGATAAAACCAATTAATAATAAAATTGAGTGGAAATGCACTTAGGCCCACCACCAACTTATTACTTATTACCAAAAAAAT